TAAGGAATATATGTATTTCATTTCTAGTGTATTTCATTTTACCCTTGTATTTTAGAGGCACTTTTAGTTGTAGGACCTTTAGGAAATGACCTTGGATTGTAAGGTCATGGCCTTTACTTTTAGCCTTGTATTTGGCACATTATTTTTCGGTTTGGGCTAGATTAGAGAGGATTTTATTAGTGGAGGAATCAACTCATTTAATTGCGATAAATGGGCCATAGATTAGCTTAAGCCCACTTAGTGGGAGAGCCAAGTTCATGCTCCTTAGGGTGCACCTTGGTGTAGCTAATCCTAGGCTACATAGTCACACTTTTGGTGATCCTTTCACACCACTTGTGCTTCATATTTGAATTTAATTTTGAACCCATTTCACTCACATTCCAACCATATGGGTGGAAAAAAGTTATTTTAATTCAAATTGGTGTCACTTTCTAACTAAGGTTAGCTTAGGCTAACCTAGGTTAGCTTGGCTCCTAGCACACTCTTCCTCTCCTATTTAAAGCCTTAACCAAACCATCTTCAACACTTTGACTCTTATATTGAGTGAAACTTTTCGAAATTCTCTCATCTCTCTCAAGGTCCCTACTATTCTTGAGTGCATCTCATTTTTCTTCCCCTTGTGAGTGAGTGAGAATATGAACAATTCATCTTCAATCCATGAGCCTTTGCCTCTTCAAGTGTCCCCAAAATCTTGTTGTTGTTTGTCGGATTCAATCTTGGAGGAGTTTAGAAACTAAGATGAGCAAGGGTCCTTCAAGAAGAAACTTCAAACAAGCCAAGCTAATTCGGTTTTGATGAAGTCTCTTCCATCACACTTTAAGTTTTTTTTTCTCCCTAAAATCCTTTTGGCTTTTAGTTATTTATTATATTTGTTCTTAATTAAAATAAAATACATTAATACATATGTTGTTCTCTTTTTTCTAAATTTTGAGTTCATTATAAATTATAGCCATGTTGTGTTTTCTTTATAACGAGACAAAGAAACTAGTGATATGCATTAAATATTATTCACAAACATTATGTGAAGGTGTAATACAACTAAGTTGAGTAGACATTAATGCAAAAAAACAACAAAAAAATAAGAGATTTTATGTCATATTTCTACATCTCGGTTACCCCATAGCCCATGTAGAAATGTGTTTTAAAAACACACAGGGTTTTTAATTTCACCATTACATTCATTGTTCTTCTTCTTCTTTGCACACCCCTCCTTGCTTCAGGAAGGTTGGTCCTAGGCCTTGTTTGTAGGTGCAATTGTCCAGGATATGATCAAGAGGGTCCAATTTGTTTAAAAATTATATAATTGTGTTATAACTTTTTATGTTATCTTTAAAAATAAATTAAAATCATTATGTCTTATATGTTTCTTTTTATATATTTAAATATAAAGTGATATGATTATAATATTATTATTTTTTACTGTTAGTTTTCTATTTGTGTTACATTCATAAAAGGGTGAAATATGTTTTTGGTCCATCTAAAATTTTTCCAGTTTGGTTCTAGTACCTCAATTTACTTTTGACTTATTTTGTTCCTTCTAATTTGAAGATGCAACACTTTTGGTCCGTAAAGTTTTTTATATAGCACTTTATAATAAACAATAGTATAAAAGTAAATTGAACAAAAATTTAGTATATCTTTCCCTTTAGTTTAAAGGTGTAAAGAAAAACTTTGGAAAGGGTTTCGTTTGGGTGCTTACAAGATTTTGATAGGGTATCCAAGACACAAGTTCAAAGTTGCTCATGGGGTTTGAGTTGCATTTTCTTAAAGAGTCTTATTCTAGGGTGGAATGCCTAGATATCAAGGTTATAGTGGAATCTCAATGGTTAACTGGGAAACCGAATGTAACTCTTAATGTTAGAGAGTGAACCAGTTTAAAACCCTTGTTTGAGATCTTTTTTCTCTATTATATTTATTGTAACATCCTATTTTTCAAAAATAAAAATAAAATAAATTTTTTTAATAATATTGATATCTTGGACTTAATTAATTTATTAACAAAGTTTATAATATAAGCTGTGGATATTTTTATTAAATAAAATAAAGATAGAGTACGAGTTAGTAGGAAACCTTTGGATTTGCATAATAAGATAGAGAATAAAGGGTTAGGTTGTATAATGCATCAATTTATAAAATCATAAGAACACTTGTAGAGGAGAATCACGAGGAGTGTGTGGAGTAGCCTTAAAACAACAAAGATCGTACATGTGCCTCGAATATCATCATTTAAGGTAAGAGAGGGAGTGAGATTGTCTCATCTTGTGGGCAAATATGAGGGGTATGGATAGTGAGGTGACCCTTAAACCTCCTTATATTTATGATTGTGATGGAATCATGCTCATGGGTCCAATCCAAAAGGAACCAAGATGAATGAGATAGGCTTCAAGGTAAAAGGCCCATGGTCATGATTGAGCTTTGGGTTATATTTTTGTCCATTTTTTTCATATAAACATTTCTTTGTAACATTTCTTTTATTTTGACATTGTATTTTGGGTCAAGTAGATTAGGATGTTATTCCTTGTATTTCCTTTTTGTTGTGTAATTAAAATTGTAGTGGGGTGTATCTAGTATGTAGCACATGGAGCTAAATAGGCTTGTGTTTTGGCTTATTAAATGAGTAGGACATACACATGAGTGTTTCTTACACATTACCATAGGCTACACAAATCCAGTTAGTCACATGCACCACACACTAGTCACACTATTCACACTTGTAACATGAAAAACTTTTATAGCCTAGTTTAGATCTATAACATATGTAAGCACATGGCTTTTCGAGCCAATGGTTTTGGCACCACAATTTGTATTTAAAATTCAAATTAGCATGGCAAATTAACCTATGCACTAGTAATTCACTTCATGGTTGACTTCCCTTTTCTAAATGCTACATTTGGTTCAAACGTATTATACCAATATGTGCACATACACAAAAAAAGGGAAATAAAATAATATATCATTCATAACATCCATAAATTATTAGAGCACTTATCAAATATGTATTTCAAACATTTGAATATGATTATTTAAGGTGCAAAACATTCAACCAAGTTTTAGACTTGTGAACACCTATAAGAGATAGATGCTCATCACAGTGCATTACATGTTGAGTGCTGGATGCTGGATGCAGACATTGAGTATCCTATTTACTGAACATTACACTTTTCTCCTTTTTACGTGATTGTAGAAAGAGTTATTTGTGAAAAACATTTTTGTTTTTCATTGTTTTTATATCCTTGGACAAACGATTCTTGAAATTACATAGACAAAATATTAGTTACTCAAGGTCATTGCTTTGTTATCATCAAAATTAGAATGGTAGACATGCGAAATGTCTTTGGTTCAACAAATTGGTCCAAGTTAGTCCAATATATTTAAAAACCCTGAGAAATTCTAAGATATGAGAGGAATATCAATGATAAGTTTAGTCATGGTTAGAAAGGCAAAAAGTAAGTCAGTGATGAGTTTATCTCTGTTTGCTACTTATGTGGTAAAACCCAACATGTTACATCCAAGCACAATCACTTGCGTAAGAAAAGACAACCTAATTTCTTCAAAGCTAATGTAAAGGACCTAAGTCCATTTCGACACCTAAAATGAGATAATTTTTGTTGTAGATCTCATTGATAGTAGGAAGAGTCCAACCATGGTACCTAGATAGTAGATGCTCACATCATATGATAGGAGAAAGGTGTATGTTCCTAAACCTGAGATCAAAAAGTGGTGGCCATGTCACTTTATGAGTAAATAAAAAAATTAAGATTAAAGGGATAGATAAGATAGGTACATAGTATTATTCCCTATCTATTAATAATGTGTTTTTTTGTTTATGGACTCAAACATAATCTACTTATGTCCAACTTTTCACCATTATTAGACAAAATAATCTTTATAAGATTAACTTGGACAAACTAACTAGTCAACACATAAGATGCCTTATATCCATAGAAGGTCATTGGATGTGGCACAAGAATTCTGAACATACAAGCTTGAGAGATTAATGTCAAATTGAAAAAGAATAACCTCATGAAAGATCTTCCAAATCTTGCTTATCACTTTAGTGACTTTTGTTGACCATGCCAAAAGGGGAAGCAAGTTAAAACTTCATTTTAATCTAAAAATCTTATTTCCATCACTAAGCCTTTGGGTTCTTACATATTGATGTGTTTGGTTCAATCAAAACAACGTTTATTAGTGGTAAAAGGTATGGCTTAATCATAGTGAATGATTATACTAGAAGGACATGGGCTCTATTCTTAACCCACAAGGATCGAGTTTTTATAGTCTTCTATGTATTATGTAAACAAGCTCATAATGAGAAAGACATATCCATTACTTCTATTCAAAGTGATCAATGGAGTGAATTTGAAAATGAGAGTTTTTAAAAGTTTTGTGAGGAGAACAAAATTTTTCAAAACTTTTCTCCGGCACAAACACCACAACATAAAGTTATGGTTGAAAGACAAAATATCATCGTAAGAAAATGGCTAGAACTATGTTGATGACAATTCAACCCCTAAACATTTTTTTATAGAAGTGGAAAATACAATTTGTTATATATATATGAAACCTACCCTTAATAAGACTCCCTATGAATTATAGAGAGGACAAAAATCTTTTCAAACTTCCACCCATTTGAATGTCAATGTTTTATTCTTAACACTAAAGACAACATTTGTGAGTTTGATTGCAAGTGTGATAATGGAATGTTGTTAGGCTATTTTTAATAAAATTTATAACCCTAGAACCTTAGTTGTTGAAAAAGTCATCCTTGCAAGGTTTAACGACATCAAACTTAATAAACAATTATCAGAACTAGAAGAATCGTTTTATGTTTTACAAATTGATGAAAAGAAGAAAATGGCGTCCACCTCATCACCAAACAAATAAAAGGCTAAGGAAGAACCTAAACCATCTGGACGCAAGTGAAGATGAAGCTACACCATCCGGATGATCAAGTCATGGAAAAACGTATAAATTTAAAAAGGTTCAATCCCAAACAATTTAATAAAATAAGAAAAACGATAGCATTTTTTTTGTATAAAAGTTGCAATCTTGAAATGACAAATACACGAAGTTAGGGTTGTCTAATCTCAAAACAATTGAGGTTCAAGAAAATGTTGGATCATATGATGAAACCAGCATTCCCTTCAAAGAACCCCTCTCATCAGAATTGGTCCCAAGTAGTCACAGAAGATCAAGACTGTGTTTTCAAAGCACTACTCAGATTCTATATACAAGGCAGTCACAATCATATCACAGAGCATCTTATCAAGTAGATCCCTGCCCCTATCTAAGTAGTTCCATATGATTCCATCTCCACCATGCTTCTTAAATCTTTTGTTAGTACTGTAAGAGTTACTATCCCCTAGCCTTTTCCAAGTCAGGAAGATCTGCAAATGATATAATAATCATTTAAGACAGGTGGGGTAAAAGAGCACAATAAATACATAAACCAAGTATAACAAACAATTCAATATAAAATAAAACAAAATAAAGTGCAGCTGTTAATACTGAAACCACTAACAAAAATTCCAATTGTGGAGAAACATAGACCTTCACTTAAAATGAATAAATACCGATAGAGATACAGCTCAAGCTATGCATCATGCACACATTAAAATCAACTTATGCACTTTAACTTTCGCATTAAAATCAACTTATGCACTTTAACTTTTAAAGAAGTCCTCTCATCTAACTTCTCCAAAAGTTGAGGTGCTAAAGTTGATTTTAACTTGTAAGTTTGATTCGTTTTGTTATTTATTTTCTTCTCATACAAGTGTTTAGTGAGAAGTTTTGTCCAATAGGGATTAGGAAGACTAAAGGATCTCAGTGTGCAAATATTCTATACAGACATCAATATTACCTCCAAACACCATATCAGTAAGCAGATGAAAGAATCACTACGATTTAATTAGAAATACAAGGGGATCACTCACACAACATTCCATCATCATCACTACTTCCATCATCTTGACCGACAAACTGCAAAAGAAGATGCATTGGTCAAGCTTAGGTACCAGCTTTGTTAAAATTTGTAAATATCACATGTGGCAAGTGAAAAAAATTAATTTACCCTAGTATCATCATCAGATACCACATCAGCTGCAAAAGGTCCAACAAAAGCTTATTCAGATAAGAGAAATACTCGCAAGAAGTAATCAACTTTATTGTAATTCTCAAGCAACTTATGCAAATAACAAAGCAATATGTCCAATAATCTGACACCAAGGTAAACTACACAAATCAGGATGCTAGTAATTTAACATTTTAATGACTGACTCAGTGTCGCTAGTCTGCATCTCTATCTAAAATAAAATTAAGCACATGACAGGAGAGATATGTTATGAAATAATTGAATAAGACTCTAGTAGCTGAAGGGAAAAAACTGAAGTTAGTCGAGAGTTTGTTAAGTTGTCATTTTAGAAGTTAGTTTCAAGTTTTAGTTCCTGTAAATAGGAAGTTGTTGTTAGAATTCAAAATGGGAAAAACTTGTAAACTCTCTGTATCCTTCTTCCTCTTATCAATAAAAACTTCAGACTCTTTCTTCTTCAAGATTCCACGTTCTAATTGGTTCTTCGTGATCTTGTAGTACCTAGAACTATTTTCTTACATAACAATTGGTACAAATTGATTTTCCTCGGTTTAATGATGAGAATGTGGACCAATGGATCTATCAGTGTGATAATTTCTTTTTAATTGATCGTACTCTTGATGAAATTCGTGTACAATTAGAAATAATTCATTTAGAGGGACGTGCTTTGCAATGGCACACAACTCTTGCAAAAACTATGAATTGTTCGTTACTGTCTTGGAATGCTTATACTGGGTTGGTGAGAGACAGGTTTGGAGATGTGTGTGTTGATCTCGACAGACTGTCAGTGGGAGAGTATCATGAAGAGTTCAATGTCATTATTAAAAGACTGAATTTGTCAGAACAATATATCTTGAGTTGCTTTCTAGGGGGATTAAAAAAGGATGTCCAAATGCTAGTGCGCATGTTCCAACCTACTACGGTGCAAAAGGCGTTCACGTTAGCTCGGATGTATGAAGCTACTAATGCACCAAGTTCGGTGGTATTGTCATTATCATTGAACAAGCAAAAAGGCTTATTGGGATCGAAACCAGGAATGATGGAGAAAGCTAATATTCCTTTTGGAAAGAATTTTGAGGCAAATAAATCTGGTATTAGATCAGGTAAAACTTTGACTCCTACATATATGAATGAAAGACGAGTCAAGGATCTTTGTTACTTTTGCGATGAATCTTACTCTCCAAAACATAGCTTGTCACATAAGAAATTGCAAATTCATGTTATGGTGGTGGTGGAGGGCGAAGATCAAACAATATTGGAGGAGACAGATGATCAGGTTGGGAGTGGGAAGGAGCCTCGGATTTCAGTTAATACATTGACAGGTGTGGCTAATTTCATAACCATGAGAGTGACTGGTTATTTGCAAAAGCATCCTTTGCACATTTTGATAGACAGTGGAAGCACGCATAATTTCTTGGATATCCAAACAGCTAAGAAGTTTGGCTGCAAAATAGAGGAAAGGGAGCCATTGATGGTGATTGTAGCCGATGGCAACAAGCTCAACATTTCTTCAGTAGTTAAAAACTTCACTTAGACAATACAACATACAACCTTCGCTTTTGATGTGTTTCTCATTCCACTAGGGTGTTGTGACCTTGTTTTAGGGGTGGAGTGGTTGGTTACATTGGGTGATATCACATGGAATTTTGATAAATTGACAATAGAATTTATGATGCAAGGGAAAAAACATGTGTTGAGGGGGGATTCGGTACAGAACATTAAGACAACTAAGAGACAACAGTTAATTAAGGCTTTGGATGGTGGAGTTCACTTCTCTATGTTGCAGTTGTGTGGAGAGGAAGAAGGGTTACTTCAATCTCTGACTACTTAGGCAGATCAACCTACATTGCCTCAAGAAATAAATCAACTTTTGGGAGAATTTGATGATATTTTCCAGGAGCCTGATCAGTTACCTCCCTTTAGATCTGATCATGATCATAAGATTCCACTAATTCAAGGTGCAAATCCAGTAAACAAAAGACCATACAGATATGCTAAATCACAGAAGGATGTTATTGATAAATTGGTGCAGGATTATCTTTAAACTAGAGTAATTTAGAACAGCAACAGCCCTTATGCTAGTCCTATGGTGTTGGTGGGAAAAGAAGATGGGTCTTGGAGGTTATGTGTGGACTATAGGGACCTTAACAAGAATACTGTGAAGAACAAGTTTCCTATTCCTCCAGTGGATGATCTTCTAGATGAATTGCATGGGACCTCTATTTTTTCTAAGATAGATTTAAGAGCTAGATACAACCAAGTGAGGATGAATCCGAATGATGTGCATAAGATGGCTTTTAGAACCCATGGAGGTCATTATGAATATATGCTGATGCCCTTTGGCCTCAAAATGCACCGGCTACATTTCAAGGTCTGATGAATTCGGTGTTTCAACCATTTTTAAGGAAATGCCTTTTGGTCTTCTTTGATGATATACTCATCTCTAGTGTCAACATAGAAGACCATGTGAATCATCTTTGACAAGTGCTGCAAACCTTCAAGTGTAACTCTATTTGCCAGGAAATCTAAATGTTTCTTTACTGTCAATAAGGTAGAATACTTGGGTCACTTCATTTCTATGGAAGGGGTGTCCACTGATCCAAGGAAGGTGGAAGCTATGAAGAATTGGCCATTGCCGCAAACAATCAAACAACTTAGAGGGTTTCTGGGCTTGGCCGGGTATTATAGGAGGTTTGAAGGGATTTGGCTTGGTTACTAAACCTCTTACAAATATACTTAAGAAAGAAAATTTTTTGTGGAATCAAGAGGCTACAAGGTCTTTCCAGCATCTCAAGGAAAGTCAAGAACACAGTAGCCAAAAGAGGATCTCCTATTGACATGGATTGGAAACCAATCCAGTCAGCATCAGAGAAGCCCTCAACTACAGTATGTCCATGATCTCTATACCAAACACCATGATCTGGATGGTCTTAGATATCTCAATACGTGAAAAACAGCTTATGATTGAATTGTTCAACATGAAATGAACTGACTAACCAGTGACAGAATGCAATGCTAGGACAAGTGATTGTGAGGTATTTAAGCTTACACCCATCAGTTCTCTATATCATTTATGCTATGAAGTAACATCTACATCGTTTCATAAGAGTTTGATATAAAAAAATTAAAAAAATAAATAAATAAACCTACAATTTTAACTCTAATCAAACCTGTTTCTTTGAGAAAATCATGCATCTTTACTTTGAGTTGGAAAAATTCCCTTTTCACTCCTCATCACCTCAATACCCAACATGTACTTTAATGCATCAAATCCTTGGTTAACATGTTTGAAGATACTCCTTGAGTTTTCTAATCCTAATTGCATCACTCCTAGAAATATTAATGTCACAATTATCCACAACCATAAGAAAGATAAACCAACCATAGTAACGAGTGTTGGAAGAAGACAGAATGACCAAAATTGTTGCATGCAAGTTCAAACTGCAATATTGTTTGAGTGAATAGCCCAAATCAAGCTCTTGGAACATGTTGTAAGGCAATACAATGGTTTCTTCAACCAACACACCATACCACTATCACACCAAACAACAAACCCAAGTGATTATTCCCTATAAACCACTCCTTTCAGGTTAGCATGAAAAAAGAAACTTGACATCCAACTGTTGCAAATGGAAATGATGGCAACTTGGCAAGCTTGCAAGAGAAACAATTGGATAGAAGAAAGCTATGAAAGAGGGAAAAAAGGCATCAGAAGTGTTAAGAATCTTAGATATCATCTAATCTTGATATTATCTTATCTTGATACTATCTTATCTTGATACTATCTTATCTTGATTTAAATATAGCAAGGTTATCGATAACGAATAATGGTCGATGGTGGTGAGCCAAAAATCCGTTATAAACATATGGCGGACGGCATGGCAGCCTATGGCGGACAAACAAAATAATAATATACATCTACAAAAAAAACTGTAAAAAAAATTAAAAAAAAAACAAAATTAATTAAAACAAAATATCAACTTAAATAATTAAATATAAAAAAAATCAGAATAAAAGATAAGGAACAAAATATAATTTTCAATGTTTGAACAAAATAGGAACTCAAACCAAACCTAACATGAAGGAGATGAAGATCAGATGAAGAAGAGGAACAAAAGAATAAAAGATGAATAATAGGAACTCAAACAACACAAAACAGATGAAGAATCATCGGACAGAAGAGGAAGAAGTAGAAAAAAAAACACTAAAAAACATAACCTGTTTTGAACCTCACTCCAAGGTTCGCTAGAGTGACGGGCCACTGTGGTTCAAGTCGCCGGAGTTGAACGAAGGTTCAGAGAACCCTAGGGCAACAGCAACGTTCAGGGTTGGGAGCAACAACATTCCACGTTTGGGGCAAAAGTGTTTTGGATTTTTCTCTAAAATGGGTTTTTTTATAATAAAAAAGCGTCATATCCGCCATAACCTTCATAAACCTTTATGGTTCAACGGCCATGGTGGGCACCATGGCGGATATAGCGGACACCGCCATAAAACACCAAATAACGGATGGCGAATGGCGATTTGGCCAGAGATCTTTACACTAATAGCGATTTGGCCGGAGACCTTTACACTATTTTGTTGTAACAGGATTATAACGGTTATTTGATAACATTGAAATATAGTATGTTGAGATAATATCTTAAAGATCACAGGTAATCATATATTTTATATTCATGTGTAATCTATGAAATAAATCTATATAAACATTCATCTAGTGTTGAGAGACACGGTTTCAGTCAATTATTCTTTTCTATTCTCTGATTCTTAATAAGAAGAATCAATGTCTCAAACCTTAATCATAGCAGCCAAACAGGCCATTAAGCAAGAAATAGAACCATCAGGGATGGCCTCACAGAATAAACCAATTTTCAATCAATTGCTATTTACTGGTAAATACAGAAACTAATGCCCGTGTCTGATTATGTTCAAGGGAATGCATCCCACACAACAAGGCCATACACCAGCCTATATGAAACAACATCAGTGACAGCAGTGTGAATAATAATAG